CTTCTGTACTCACCAGCGGTGAGGAGCAGATCAGGCTCAAGAGGAGATTATGAGGGGGTAGAGAAAATGCATAGAGAAGCTGCAAGAGAGACCTGATCTCGGGGAAGAAAGGTGCTTTGCAAGGGAAACACTGTCTGTCTATTGGGTTCTCTGAAGGAGAGTTTAGGCAAAAACTGTGTCTTCACATGGAGAATGTCTGTGGATGGCAGAGGCTTCCCCAGCAAGGGAAAGCACAATGACTTTCTGCAGACAGAAGCTTATGCAGGAAAATAGTTCAGACTGGAGATATGATAAAAAAATGCTAGCAGTGAAGATAAATAACCTTTGGAAGACCTTACCAGGAGGTGCCACTGATCTCCTTCGCAGGAAACTTCAAACCCCAGGCTTTTTGGAAAGGATGGCCTCCAATCAAAGCACAAAGCTGCTGGTATGAAGTGACACGTGTTTTACAGGGGGCAGGTTGGAGGGCTACAACTCTCCTCCCAATTTTAAAAATTGCTGTCTCTGCTTCCCTAGGGATGTGCTCTCCAATGCCCCAATACAGCAGTTGTAGGTGCTGAGGGAATACCAGGAGAAACGGACAGCAGGTGGTGGCCCCTCACTAGGAGCTGACTCAAAATGCCATCTCTGGCAGTCACTGCTGGGACAAGGTGCTGGGCTGGAGGGACAATTGCCCTGAGCTAGTGGGACATTTCTTATGCTCTTGCTTAAAAGGTCTGCTGGAAAACAGAGGAAAACGTTAACTTACACTACAAACACCTTTCCTCAAAACATGCCGCAAGACCCAGGAAAGCAGATGAAGCTCCATACACTAAGTTTTCATCCAAAGGGTGCAGAAAACTCCCTGACATCCTACTCCCCCCATGACTGTAAAGGGAGGAGGGCTGATGCACTCAGATGCAGGCAGTCACAGGAGAGGTGCCTAGTTGGCATGGACCCTGCTCCTCCAGCCCCTGGCCAGACAGAAAATGGACTTAAACCTTAGCTAGATGGGGGCAGTGACCTGTTTAAATAGGCAGCTAGCACCCCTAAAAGGCAGGGCTGAGGGCATAAAAGGCATCCTTCCCTGCCCCAAGGCGCCCATGTGGGCTGTCCCTGCTAGAGGGCAGCTGCAGGTTAGCTTGGCCTGGCTACTTCCTCAAGGAAATATAAATAGTGGGACCAGAGTACGTCCCGTATCAGCCAGATCTGCCAGAAATCCTACCAGCAGTCAGAAACATGGCCGTGCAAGCAGGCTGGTAAGCTGCCTGAATGGATACTCACGATGTGCCGAACAGCATCTGCCTCTCCTGTCCTTGGGATAAAGACTAGTGCTGGTGTTGTCTGGGGCACGTTAGGTCTCCCCTATGGCTGTTGGTAATGGAGGGCAGCCTGGTGCCGTCAGCATGGGAATCATCCTGTGGACATCAGCAAGATATACAGGTGGAGGTGAGAAGGAACTTGGGTTTACTATGCCTGTGGTGTCTGACAGGGCAGGAAGGGAGAGACAGCAGCACGTAGGAAGGTGACCCCCAAAAGTGCCCAGTCAGAAAGATAAAGAAATCCATCAGAAACCCAAGCCCTGCAATTTAATGTTGGGTTTGGACTAAGCGATGCACCTCCCAGGTTGTTGTCCTGCCAAGTCGCACGGTGCCCGGACACCAGTAGGTTTCCCACAAGTGTTTCCCTTTCACCTCAGCATCTCCAACTGAAAGAAAAGCCGGCAAACCAGAAAGCTAGCACTGCTGCAGCCAGTTTTTAAGTCTAGCCGATCCTATTATGTCGCTAAACTAATGCAGCTGCATCAGCAGCTGAGCTGCCAGAGCATTGTAACCCCATGGGTACTACGGTGATGCCGCTAGAGCTGCTAATTTGGCAGAATCTGGATCCTAAAGACAATTTAGCCTATGGCCTTTTGCCACATCCTACTTGCATGTTACAGAATTAACTATCTTGGAAATAATGGCTACAGTTGTCAGAAATTTGCAACCAGCAGTTGAATGGGATTTGCCCAGTGCCCCTTGCACGTGGACTTGTTCCTCCTCTCTCTGGCTGCATCCACAGAGCTAAATAAAGCCATTGAGGACCCGGTCCATGGTTTGAGGCCCGGCAGGGCAGCAGACCTTACATTCCCAAGCCTTGATAAGAGCACCGCAAACTCGAATTAATGGGGTTACGCTGGTTAAGAGCCCCCATGTGCAAAAGCAGAAGAAAGACCCGGATTCACGCCCCAGCACCAGACCATGCTGCTGAGCTTGTGCTTGCAAGTGAAGCTGTGTGCACGGCTGGCTGCTGTGGCTCGGCAGATTTAGGGTCCCCCGGCAAGCCGGTGCGAAGTCGTGTTGAAACGCAGTGAAGCAGGTGCTGCATGCGGGTCCCAGGACACAAAAAATATGGGCCAAAGTATCGCCACAAACGTGAACTCACGCTCTGGGAAGGAGTTACCTTCAGATGCACTGAGCGCTTGTTTTCATCCTTTTTCACAAATATTGCTGGCGGGGAGCTGCTCCTCAGAAAGTCACGTGTAGAAAGCAAGACAGGCGCAGCTGCATACAGGGATTTGGGCACCAGAGAGGTCCCTTGCCGACTCTTTGAAGGTGGTCTTATTCTTTGCAAGAACGACAACCCTTTTTGTATACCAGCTCAGCGGCCAGGTTGAATATTTAGGTGATGTCCCCCTGCAGCTGTGGGATCAGGGACAACTCTCTTGCCCCCCCAGGGAAGGAAGCTGGGTCTCAGAGGGGGTTGGACCGTGGCACTGCCAGAGCCCCGAGGCTGGCTGGATGGCAGGGGTGAGGGGTGCCATCTCTGCTGCCCACCGGTCCTGCCCCCTAAGCTACACGTTCAGTTGAGTCAATCAGTCAAGCACAAAAAAACCCCAGTGACTTTAGTTGGTGATAATCAATGTAAATAACAAGCATCTTTTGCTCATTTAAGGCTTTGATGGCAGAATACTTGCGCTGGTAACTTGCAGACTGTAATTTGCTGGCATAAAGTGTTTGTGCAGCTACCAACTACAAATCGGTGAGAAATAAATAATAAATAGCTGGATGCTCGCAGTTACTTTGGGAACAGAGAAAAGGATACATTTAAGCAAATCAATTCACTCACTTGTCTTCAAGTCTGTCTGAAAATATTCTCCAAGTGTCTCTCAGCACTGCAAAAATTATCTCCCGCTCTCATTTACAAGCAAATGTTAAGAACTGAGAGATACATACTCCTCCTGTCTTTAATGTTTTTTTGGAGGGGGATTGTGTCGTCAGCTGTTCTAGCATTCACAATATCCCACTTATTTATCTACTCAGGTTTTTTTTATGTTGTTTTTTTGTTGTTTGTTTGTTGTTTTTCTTTTTTCCGCACAGCTCTCTGCAGTCTGGCAGAGCCAGTATTGCAGTATTGATTTAGGAAGAGGCAGTTGTGACAATCCAGTCCCAGGCTGAAGCCCATGCTCTACTGGGGCACGAGCCTCACCCCCAGCGCTGGGCTCACGTTTAAAAAGAAGCAATAAAAAAAAAAAAAAAAAAAAAAAAAAGCTACTTTTATCTGCTCTGCTTTGAAGGGAAAAAGGATTACCAAGGCTAAATAAGCCATCTGAGTACTTAGCTAGCAAGCCTAAATAGCACCCTGATAGGAAGTCCTGGCAGAGAGCTAATTAAATTAACCCTCTTTGATTTATTAACAAGCAGAGCAACATATCACACAGGATTGTCCCGTGAAATGAATGTGCTTTCTGATTCCCTTGGCTGCTTTGGCGCAGTCACCTCCCGGAAAACCTGGTTATGGGGACTCAAGTTTAATGAGACTCAATGGCTCGAGAAGGATCCCTGCCCACCAACAGAGATACGCACTGGTAATAACACGCAAAAGCATGTTATTTTCCTTGCACTTCCCTAATTCCTTTTTAATGCCTAGGACGATCTAATGGCTAATTACTAATTTCCTGCCCACCGATATGCAGATGAATGACAAGCAAGAGCCTTCTGCATGTTTAATTATTCTGTTGATTTAGAAGCCACTTTTCCCTCAGTGCAAGTTGCTCTGTGTGTGTGCTCTCATGCATCATGTATTTCATTATTTTTAGAAGCATGCTCTGTGCCTTTTTATGCTCTCATAGTTCCAGCAGCCAGTAATTACTGTGTCCAGCGGACCTGATCCACCGGCGAGGGTAAATCAGGAAAACATCTCTGACTTTAAATGGAGTTATTCCAAGTTACACCACAGACCTGACCTCTCCTATTTTTAGCGGTGGGGGGAAATGTTACTTGCATGCTGGGACCCTTGTGAAGTAGCAGAATAAATATAACATTTAGAAAACTTCAGAGCGGTGAAAATCCAAATCGAAGCCTGCAAATGCACAGACGTGAATCTATTTATATAGCGAGCTTTACTTCTGCTTAACCCCTGAGAGGAACTGTAACTCTCTGCATATTTGATTTTTCTCTCTCAGTAAAACATAGTCTACTTAATCTATTTTTGCTACTTTCTGACAGTTTCACTGGTGGGTTTCTTCCCCACGCCTTACATTTAGCTTTGATATCTGAGCGCTCTTTTGTTAAATTAAGGCAATTAATAAATGGAGATGTTAAGTAATCAATTTTGCCTGCATATCTCCACAGCCTTACATATGACTGGCTGTAATCACAAGATAAATGCAACGTGCTGATGTATGGTAATGTTCAATAATACATTCTCCACCAGGCTCAATTCATCAGGGAGTTTCTGGAGGGGAGGCATCCGTTATTGGCTGCCTCCGGACCTCAAGGATAACATTTCTGTCCTTTCCATTGGCCGCCCCGCTGCTGCAAGCCTCTTCCCGTCTTATTTTGATGATGAATATGAAGGCATACTAAGCTGTGCCGGAGCGTAGCTCTCGCCGACTGCTCTCCGCTCCCTCCCCGGGCTCAAGGACTCAGGGGCTCCTTCGCTGCTTCCCCTGCCCACCGCCAGCAGCAGCAGGAGCCGCAGCAGCCGGAGCAGCGCAGCGGCCGCGGCAGCGGCGGCAGCAAACGCCAAAAGTTGTGATGCTTTTCTTCACCCAGTGCTTTGGGGCTGTGTTAGATCTTATTCACCTGCGGTTTCAGCACTACAAGGCAAAGAGGGTTTTCTCAGCTGCCGGGCAACTTGTCTGCGTCGTCAACCCAACGCACAGCCTAAAGGTGAGTTAAAAATATTTTTTCTCTTCTGACATCTTCTCGACTTTCCCTCGCCGCCGCCACCACCACCACCACCACCACCGGTGTTTCTCCGCAGGGAATGAAATGATGCTCTGGCAGCGAGGGGAGAGTGCTGTTAACACATTGCAGCCCTGGCAGAGAGGATGTTTGCATTGTCTTCCTGCACGGTTCCCTTCGGAGCGAAGGAGAAGCAATCTGCTGCTCCAAGCAATCGTGGGAAGTCGCTGCTCCCCCTTCCCCAAAGTTTCCTTGTCCCTTTCACCCGTGTAATGAGCACGCGTGTTGCAAAGCACCTGGGAAAAAAAAAAAGATTGGAAAAGTTAGTTGGACGAGTTATTGACCCTTTTTGGTGGAAGGACTCTGGGTGGTCTCCCAGGCACAGCCGGCTGCTGCCCAGCTGTGGGGAGCAGGAAGAGGGGGGACAGCAGCACAGGGGTCTCCGGCTGCTGGTCTTGTTTGCTTTTTTGGGGAAAAAAAGGCTGTTTCTGTCTCCTGAGGGGAGTCTGAAAGCATTGCTCTGGCGCTGGAAGTGTCCTTAAGCTGTTTGCAAGGTGAATCTATTTTAGGTGGGAGAATACATTTGCCTTAATGCAAAACTATTTATAGTCCCCATAAAGCATTTTTCTTACTTGCACAGTTCTGGATTTTCACTGACAAAGTGTCAACAGCTCCGTCTATGCCAGAGCCCTGATGTTTGCACAAAGAGAAGGAGCAGCAGGGGGAGAAAGCCACTGGGAGGCTTTAATTACTTTGTCACGGTAGTGAATGACCAACTTTAACAAAGTGACTCCTGCTTTGTGGGAAGTCCTTGTGGACCTGACTTACGATGCTGCTCCACTAGCCCGACACAAGCTCAGAAATGAAATGAATTCAGGACAACTTATCTCTGTCTCTGCTGGGGTCCCTGTGAGGTACTCGGAGGAGCTGCAGGGAGCATCTTTCCCCAGCTGCGGGGTCCCGGGAGGTCTGCTGAAGGGGTAAATCCCTCTTCAGAGCAGCATGCCCCCCTCAAAGAAAGGCAGATTTCCTGCAGTTATATTTCCAGTCTCAGGCAGGGAGAGGTTGTTTCTAGCAGGGCACCAGCTCCGGGAGGATTTCCTCGCAAAGCCGTGCTCAACCTCGAGAGCGTTGCTGGCCGGGGCAGGCACTCCCAGGGGATGGACTGCGTGGGTGCCGGGTCAGCTCTCCCAACATCGCGCTCCTCCGCCGATACGAGCTATTTAAAAAACCCACAGCTGTGTCATTCTGTGAAAGGGTCTGGCTGTCCAAATGGATAAAAGAAATAGCTGCGTTCCTAAGTGCATGGGGAGATTTTGTAAATGAATGCTTCTGTGCTCGACCCCTTTTATGCGACTGTCTCCTGCTACTTTCATCTATAATTTTAATTATTAAAAAAAAAAAACTGAGCAGAAAAAAGGGTATTGAAGGTCACAATACAATTTCAGTGCTAGTGGCACAGTCTGATGAGGTCCCATAAGTGCACAGAGGGGTGTCCACTGACTGCTCCACTAGTATCTAGGACTAGACCTGAATTTATCATTTCAGATGCTCTTGAGTTGCAGATTTGCTGTTGTACGAGCTGCAGCATTTTAACTTGAATGTACCAAAACCAGTTGATGCTTCTGTTCCTTTCTGTTAAACATATAGAGCATTTTTGTGTATTAAAATCTCACATGGCCAAGCTCTTCACTGCTCAGACAATAAGCCCTGTAGAGAGATGAGTAATCTCGGTACTGTCTTGGCAGCTCTTTAAAGTAGGCACTGGCTGCAAAACAGTCTTGGAAACAAATGGGAACCTCTAGGAAAAGGTCCGACGTGTCAGTGAAGCCCCACTGAGAATCATCTTGACCTCAGTGGGAATTGCTCCCATGGTAGGGTTGCAGTGAGAAGTGTTATCCCACATGGACCTGTTGTGACATCAGGCAGATGGGACAAGCTGACAAGAAACCTTTCTGCTCTGAAAAAACCCTTCTGACTGTAAAGTGAAATACACTTTGAAGATGCTCCTGAGTTACTGAGCTCACATCCAGCCGTGTAAATATGGTGGGCTTTAGCACTGATCCACTCTCAAGGTGTTTAGTTTGGTTTCCCACCAGCACTGTAAGGAATGCACCACTGCTTTGTGCCAGCACCCAGAAGAGATGGGTGGGTCGAACCCCTTTGTGCCCAGCACGACTCTACTGGTGCCTGCCCTCCAGCACCAGTGAGTGGTAGGAGCCTGTGGGCCAACGCCAACTGTCTCCACGTGAGACACATCGCCCTACTGGCTCTTGCCTGGTGGTGGACAGGTGGTCAACTGCATCTGGCAAGGCACATTGTCCAAAAGCTAGTGTCAAAGACAAGTCAGATAAACCTGCTTCTCAGGGTGCATGTTTCCCCTCCAGGGATGCACAAGGAGGTTGTGGCTGCTGCCTCCAGCAACCTGGCACAGACACTTCTCAAGCTGGGACCGAGAAATCCCCCCCAGTCTGCCCCATATGCCAAACAACATCTTAGGGACCATTAAAAATGAAAGGGCCGAATGTAGTCCTCCATGGTGGTTTACAGTATTATGACTACTTTGATATTTCATAGTCTATTATTTCTGTCTGGGTCATTTCAACTGTAACATTTTGTTGACAGCCCCCAAATCTATCTTTAACAATTGACAAGTGGAGTGAAAACTGTATTAAGGTTCGCAGTCGATGAATACAAGCCTGTTGGAAATAAGGGCTAGGACCAATATAATTTCTCTCCCTTTCCTTCAAGGCTTAAATGTTACTCCAAAATCATAAGCTCTTTGCAAAGGGATTCTTTTATTCCGTATCTCCACAGCACCTGAGTGAGGGGGCTCCTGGCTGATTGGTGCAAATGATAAATGACAGGCATCACATTCTGGTGTGATTATGCACGTTGACATCCCTCACATAGGTCAGGTCCTCAATCAGTGCCAACGCGCATAACTCCATTAAAGTGAAATTGCAGCAGGACCTCTATTCTTGCTCCTTCCACCCAGGGGAGTGCTCAGGGATGGTGGTGGGACCCAGCCCACCCCAAGGACCCATGACTGGTGATCAGGTATGTGTGTCAGAGATTTGGTATCACGTAAAGCACTTAGGGAGCAGCAGAGGGCAAGGGAGCCCAGGTCCCCTCCAGGGAAAAGTTGCACCAGCTTCTGCTGTCATAAGACCCATAGCTAGACCAAGGTGGGCCTCCAGCAAAGGTATGTCAGCACACTGTCACCGCAATCACAGTCCGGACCTCTGACCATGACCAGAGTTCATCACTTACCTCTTCCTTTAGGGGAGGCCTGGAGATTGGCAGAGAAACACACATTTAGAAAGAAACCTGGGTCTTTCTTACCACTGAAAGGCTCATTAACTGGGAAAGCTGATGAGTGATTCCGTTTATCTTAAAGGAGAAGATGGTAAGGGTGTCAGCACAGACACCTCTGTTGATCTGCTGCTATTTTCCCTGTGCACAACAGGCTGACACAGGCAGCTCTAAACAAGGAAAAGACAATTTTGCAACTGTCCTCCTCCATGTCGCCGGTTTGGCAGGGGTATGAATAGGGTGGGGGGGTTGTTTTGGAGCCTCTTTGTCCTTCTTGCCGCTTTCTGCCCTTTGTACACCCACAAGCTTTCCCCGGCACGGCAGCAGCACCTTATGATGCAGCGCTACGCTGGGATCAAAATTCACTTGCCAAGCAGAGAAAACCACATATTTACCGCACTTCTATAGGTCACCTTCACTCTCAATCATATTATATGCATTACTTTGTAACCTGTCTTCCTTCAAGCGTACAGTCGCCCTGACGTCTCCCTTTGGAAAGGCACATCCAGGCAACGGAGCTCCTCAGAAAAGTGGCTGCCCCCTCCAAGGCCATATTAATTAGAGGAGCACCGCTTATTCTGCTGGCTGCAGGCCCCAGCGGGTAGGGGGCTGCAGGCCCCAGCGGGCAGGGAAAGTTTTAAGGCGCTCCGTGTGCATGGAAGGAACGAGCAGGGCTTGCTGGTCCCGGTGGAGATAAAGCTCAGTGAATTCCTCTGCATTTTCCCCCTCTTAATAGCAATTCTCCCCAGCACCACTAATTGCACTCTGGAGAGAAGGTGAAGATGGGCAGCTGTGTCCTCGCTCCTTAGCTGGCATCGGTCCCTGCCCCAAAAAACAGGCGTACGCAGCAGGGGACTGCAGGGCAATCACAGCTCAGCCAGGTGCCGATGCTTCGCAAAGCACTGCATACAGCCAGGTAAAGCAGATCCTCTTCCTTCAAGGAGTTACTGGCTTTTTAAAATGCCACTTTAACTCTTTGAAGAGTGTGAAAAATGTTCTTGTAAAGAGTAAAAAAAGTGTTTTTACAATGTTCTTGTAAAAACCACTTTTCCCCAGCTCTGTAGGACTTAGAGGTACTCGCTGAATTATGAAAAGAAGCGTATTTAAAGGAGGGTGTAAATAGTTCAACCTTTATTGAAAAAGGGTCGTAGCGTGGTTTATGGGGCCAAGCTGTCTTTTAGCTATTTTTTAAAGCAAGGAGCAAATCTGCTCTGAGTTAGGGAAGGGATTTGAGTCCTGTTATAACAGTTTGGCTCTGCGCACAGTGGCCAGCCAAATAGCATTGTAATCCACTTTATCCCCAGCAGGATTAAAGTGCTAGGGGGCATTCTATCCCCATGAGATTTCTTTCTTTATTTGGTGCAAGGGAGGAGAGAGACTCTGAAACCTGCTGCTAACAACCCCCCATCCTCCACCACCATCTCAGCCCAGACACCCTCAAATCTCCCATGCAGGGCTGTGCTTTGGGGAGCCCAAGTGGTGTTTGGCCCCAATATCCAGCAGGATCGTGAGAGAGGGGCTGCGAAACCCCCTGCTGCCTGCAAACCCAGGCTCCTGCCAAGGTGCCTGTGTCCCATCCCAGCTGCGGGACAGGGCTGTGTGAGCACTGGGCACTGCAGCCTTTCAAATCCTTTTGTAGGGATGCGGGCGGCAGCAAGCAGCGCTGCTTT